GGTGGGTTACCCCCAATTATAGGTGAGACGATGAAGTTAATGAGTTAGCGTTTCTTGGGAATCAAGACAGTCAAAGAACTCTCTCATATGTGAGTATGCAGTGGCAACATCGTGAATTATATGCTTTCTTAGGATCTTGTGTGTATTTTTCTCCATAACTTACATATGGTCGCAAATAGTATCGACCATTTGACAAATAAAAACTTTTCCTAACTCAAAGTCCAATTTCATAACTTGTCGGCGACCCATTTTGACAATTTTTTCAAAGAAACATTCCTATATATAGTATTTTTTATTGTAAAGGGTGGATATGCTTTAAGACCATTTAGAAAAGAGTAATTGCATTGCACACACAAGGAAGATCGGCTAATTAGCTATGTACCCTATTCTTGTCGTATAGTGATAATCATGTTTGCTATCTTTACCATTTTACCCCTATAGCATAGTGTTAACCATGTTCAACTTTGGTTGTATCGATCACCTATTATCGCTTATGCTTTTCTTCGTTTATCGAATTACTTACGAAACCGAAACATTTGTCAGACAAGTAGAACCCCACAACTTATATCATTTTAAATTAATAAAAAAAATTTCGTAACGTTTCGATCGAGGTATTTTCAAAACACACCCTTTTACTTCTTATAAGTGTTTCTTCGCCGAGTAAAAATCACAGACTTCTTACCCTGTCTTTTTTTTCTCAAATTCGTTTGTGCTCAATATTTTTATAAATGGAGTCAACCGCCGGCGATCCTCCTCCACCATCCTTCCCCGAAAGAATGTTTGCGTTGGGGGGAAGAACCAATGGGCATTAGAGTAACTCCCTATCACAAACCCTCATATATTTCAAAGATTATCAATGCCTTAGTAGAAGAAGAAGTCAATTTCATAAGGGAATCTGCATTTGGGAAACTCTTAGAAATCGCTGAGAAACCTTCCTTCTCCGGTCGTGTGGGCCGATTCTTGTTCTCACGCCTTTTGAAGATTCATAAGAAGTACGAGGCGTGGTTCCTATTTGCCGGAAAACCAATTAGATTCTCAATGAGAGAATTCGCACTAGTCACTGGCCTCAATTGTCGTCCATACCCACCGCATACAAAGAAGAGAAGCAAGAAGTTCTTATCGAAGACGCCTTACTGGGGAGAGCTTTTCGGAACTTTGACTGAAGTCCCAGTGACTTTTGTTGTTTCAATGCTGAAAAACAAGACGGTTACTGACAGAGGAATGAGGATAAAGTATGCACTACTCGCCCTGCTCTCTGCCGTAGTTCTTCCTACGTCTCACAGACCCCGTATATTACATTCCGCCGCTGAGAAGATCAGAGATCTTGATCAGTTCCTGGCTTATCCATGGGGTCGTGCATCTTTCGATATGCTGATGAGCAGTATCAAAGAGAGAGATGAAGTATCGCTATCACAAAATACGATTGCGTTCAAAGGTTTTGTAATGGCAATCTAGCTTGTCCTTATAGAAGCCGTTCCTTCTCTCTTGGGTGTTGTAAGAGAAGGAGATTCGTCTGGATCCGAAGCAGACTCTGAAGACGAGGAGGAATCAGCAGTTGTTGATAGGGAAGGCAAGAAAAGCATCAACACAGGGCTTATACGTTCCATTGATTCTGCTGGAAAGGTATTTCTCTTCACGTTTCATGTCCCTTTGATGTTTAATACCTCTGGAAACAAATATTGATGGTTTCCTATTTTACATTTTGCGTAACTTATTAGCGTTGATAAACAAATTAGGAGCATATATACAAAATATATTAGCAGGCTAAACAATATCCAATAAATAACAGCATATTTTTGTGTGTGTCATTCTCTTGTGATTTCCCTTTATACCTGATGTTTACCAAATTTTTATAGGTAAGAGTCGTTTCCATTATATCTGATGGTGCTGAACTACCCAACTGGGAGCCAGACGCGGGTTGCGACGACGAGGAAGATGTTCTCGTTGAAAATATTGTGAGAGTAGTTGGTGAAGGATATGAATTTTCGAACTCAAATTTTAAAGGTGGTGCAACCAAATCTGATGTTTGCCGTATGTGTGAAGAAGCTATCAAAGCTAACAGGAATCGTAAAGAAGCAAATCTTCGTCAGAAACAACCTGTCACAAAAGGGATAGATGTAGAGTATGTAGCTTCTATTGTGGCAAACAGGGTATCTGCAGATCTATCCAACATGGATGATAAAATAAAAGACATTGCTCTGTCTCTACGCAACTCGCAAGAAGAATTTCAGAAAAAGATGGAAGACCTTATGAGAAGATCGTTGAAGGAAATTACAGACTCGATTACCAATTCTTGCACCCGCCCTCACGTTCAACAGTCTGTCCAAACTGAACAAGACAACACTGGAAAAGAGTCTCGCCCTGAGGTACATGCATCTTCATTTGTTGCGTCTGACATCATTGAAGAAGCTCTCCGGTTTGCTAACAAGGAGACAACCCATACATGTGAAGTAAGTTTGTTAATAATTATTAGCTTTCTAACATTTTTCTTGCCCATCAACGTCCTTGTGTTATAGATAATCGACTTTCGCTTTTACCATTTTGTCTACCAAACAACCTTGTCCCTTTTTTAAGTAATTCCCAATAGTCATTGTTTTTTCTTTGTTCACTGTTTCAGGAGTCAAATGAAGCGTACATGACCAACGACGTGGCCCACGGTGCCGGTGGGGGTGGGGATGGTCACGAGACTGTATTAAACCGCAATATTGCAGAGGAAGACACTGTAATTAAGCGAAGTTTCATTTTTGTTTAGTCCTGCCAATCACCATGCGTGCATATACATTAGCATTTTGTAGCAAACTAACAACTCTTTCCTACATACATTATGTTTCAACCCATTTTGTCTTACAATGTACAGGTTGAACCCGTTGTTCTTCCTACTATTAACACGTCTGAGAGAAGTACTGAGCCCCCCTCTGACGTCGAGAAACCAAATCAGGTTTTTTTTCCTTGTTTAATTTAGTGTATAGCACACACTTTAGTTTTATCTACATGATAGTTGTGCATGCTTTCATATGTAGGAAACCTTTGGAAATGGT